CACTATTAGGCCAGCATTTTCATTTCAGTTTTTTACCGAATTTAAATCATCTCCCTCTGCATGGATTTGAACCCAGATCCCCAGGACTGGGCTTCTGGATTATTAGTCCAGTGACATTAGCACTACATGATGTCTAGCTGCCTCATTTTAGATAATGTCACTTGAGCTCTATTTCCCACTCCCTGTTGCACAGCCAATTAACAGCATGGGTATGACAGGAGGCAAGGTCTGGCTCACTTTAATAAATTAGGAGCACCATTTTGCACGGCCACTGAACCCAAATAAATGGGCGCATGCCCCTTCCCTGGGTGCCCACCTCCCTCCCAATTTGGCCCTCATAACTAACTGCGCTTTCGAAGATATAGAGTAAAATGTTCAATCTCTGTAAGAGACAGGCTAAGTTACTAGTTTGCTGCCTGTGCATGGTCCCACGTGTCTCCCTTATTGTCAGTCTCGTGAGTTACCACACGAGAAAAAGGAAGTATTACCATCTGTGATTTTGATTCAAACAAAAACCGAAAGAACTGCAGAACCTGTAAATCAGAAACAAAAGCGGAAATTGCTGGAAAAGCTCAGCAGATGCGGTGAGAAATCAGGGTTAACATTTCGGGTCGAGTGACCCTTCCTCAGAATGGAGACACTCTGCTTCCTCTCCCTCTCCCTCTCCCTCTGCTCGTTTGTTCACTCCCTCCACTCCTGTTTCACTGATCCTATCTCTCAAACCTTGCCCCTTGTAGGTATTCCCCACCCTCATCATGCCCTCAGTCCTCACCGAGGGTTCATGATCATTTTTGAGCCTCAGAATGGGGTCACTGTGGGAATGAGTTTGGGAAACGCTGTTGTAAGGAACCTCTTGAGAAGGCGAGGGGCAGAAAGGTTTAAGAAGGGCATTCCAGTGCTTAGGGCCCCAGACAGCCAAAGGTACAGATAACAGCATGAGAACTAGGAACAGGAGCCTCTTGAACCTGCTCCACCATTTAATACAATCGTGGCTGATCTCATCTTGGCCTCAACTCCACCTTCTTGCCTGCTCTCCGTAACCCTTTAACCCATTACTCATTAAAAATCGGCCTACCTCCTCCTTAGATTTACTCAATATCCCAGCAACCACCCCTCGCTGGGTTAGTGAATTCCACAGATTCTAGATGTGTCAAAGTGCTTTGCAGTTGATGAAGTGCTTTTTGAAGGTGCAATGGAGTGAAGGAAAAGTGGCAGGCAATTTGTGCACAGCCTGCTCCTGCAAACAGACGGGGAATCTGGTTTTCTGTGGCACCAGGGATAGCTCCAGCATTGCGCAGTGGCATCTTTTACATTCTGACAAGTAATCAGGTGCAGCTTAGGCTCACAGTCTCATCTTAAAGATGGCTGCTGTGACAGTGCGGCACTCCCTCAGTACCACACTGCAGTGTTGGCTTTGAGATAGTAAGAGCTGCAGATGCTGGAGTCAGAGATAACACCGTGTGGAGCTGGAGGAACACAGCAGGCCAGGCAGCATCAGAGGAGCAGGAGAGTTGATGTTTCAGGTCAGGACCCTTCTTCAGAGCCATTTCTGAAGTGTTGGCTTTGAGTTTTGTGCTCAGGCCCTGGCGTGTGGGACTTGGAGCAGGAAACTTGTGAATGGGAGGTGAGAGAGCAACCAACTGTACCACAACTGATGCACATGGGGAGATTATTTACAGGACGTTGGGGAATGATCAGGGAAGGGAGAGCAATGTGAGCAGCTCTTTGCAATAGCCTGAATGGCCTCCGTTTGGTCAGTATGAGTCACCACCACAAATGAATTAAGAAAAAAATGCACCTCAACTCCTCCAAGGAAGTGGAAGGGTAACTCATTTAGTGGATGTTTAATTTATTCATTAAGGTCTGTATATAGGTGCCTGCACATACATGGGTGATTTCAGTTCTGGTCACCCTGCTATAAAAGGGATATTATTACACTGGACAGGGTTCAGAAAAGATTTACTGAGATGTTGCTGGGACTGATGGGTTTGAGTTATAAAAATAGGGTGGATGGGCTGGGACTTTTATCAATGGAGCGTAGGATGTTGAAGGGTGACCTTACAGAGGTTAATAAAATAATGAAGGGCATGTATAAGGTGAATAGCCAAGGAGTTTTCCCGAGGGTGGAGGAGTCCAAAACTAGGGAACATATTCTTAAGGTGAGAGGAGAAAAATTTAAAAAGGACATGAGGAGCAACTTTTTTACACAGAGAGTGGTTTGTGTTGGTGTAAACTGCCAGAGGAAATGGTGGATGCAGGTACAGTTAAAACATTTACAAGATATTTGTATAAGGAAAGGTTTGGAGGGATATGGGCCAAGTGCGGGCAGGTGGGACTAGTTTAGTTTGGGAATATGATCTGGTGTGGACTAGTTGGAATAAAGGGTCTGTGTCTGTACTATATGACACTTTGACTCTGTGTGCTACTCCTAAGCACACAGTATGATGAGTTGGAATCCTTACATATTTCCCCTAGTTGTGTTGGTATTGGGAGCACTGGTTGGGAATATTTCACAGTGAAGGTGATTTATTTCAATTTGGGGTCTACTGCATCTCCTCAAGCTTACCGAAATGCAGAGCTGGGAGAAGGTACCACTCCATTTTCCTTACTCCACTGGTTCACATGTCTCCACCCTTCTCCACTCTGCTTACAGCTACCAATCGCTCATCTCCTCTCCCCTCCCACTGACTGCCCACCTCCATCACTCGTCTGTGGGGAAGCGGGCTTTGGCACTGTTGGAATTTCGGGGACTGATGCCCCTGAGATACTTTGTACGAAAGCTTATTCCCCACAGGATTCTCAAAGACAGAGTTCCAAAGCCTTCTAGCACTCATCAGACAGAGGCGGCTTCGTGACTTGGGGAGCATACCCTGGACAGCGGGTCAGGGTGGGGTGGAGGGGCGTCCTGTATAGCAAGGTGGCAAGACAATGAGGAAAACACTTAAAGCTTTAAGACAGTTTGCAAGAATGACACAAAGGCCTTAAACATTAACCCCTGCACCCTGGGAGTCACCGACTGACCACAGAGGAAAATGGCACCTCGTTCATTGGGCTGCCATGTACCACCAGAGTGAACAGTAACTACAGCGCCTGGGCAAAAGATGCCCACACCGAGAACAACATGGCACAACAACCCTGAGAGGATCCTTGTGTGGCACCTATGGCAGAACCTCCTTCGTCAGAACTGGCCTTCCCAACCATCAGAGAAGGTCCATCAAATGAAACACCACACCCCGCCCCCACCCCACCCCCACCCCCAACAAACCCTCACCCCACGGCTAGCCTGAAATCAATTGCTTGTTGTTTGTCTATCATCTTTCATTGCGGAAGATGCCAGAAGATTCTTTGGAGGCCAGCAGCTTTGAGGTAATCAGATGGGTGGTTTCCAATATTAGGGCATGTTGGGCTGTACCATTTGGCACAGGGGCTGAACAATGTCCATTTCATGGAATCTCAGAATTGTTATGGTACTGAAAACAGCCATTCGACCCATCATACCCACACCAGCTCTATTACACAGCCTGGCTCTATTATTTAGTTCCAACATCCTGCTTTTTCCCCTAATCCTTGTAGGCCATTTCTGTCCAAATAACAATCCAATGCCCCTCTTCAATGCTTCAATTGAACCTGCCTCCACCACATTTCCAAACAGTGCATTCCATAACTACTCACTGAGTGAAAAAAAAATTCTCTCGTCACCCTTGCTTCATTTGCACATCCCTTAAAATCTACTGCCTCTCATTCTTTTTCCTTTTATGAGATGGAAACAGTTGTTCCCGATCTATTCTGTCCAGCCCCCTCATGATGTTGCGAATCTCAATCAGATCTCCCCTCAGCCTTCTTGTCTCCAAGGAGATCACTCCCAACTTCTTTGATCTATCCTCATCACTGAAGTTCCTCATCCCTGGAAACACTGTAGTAGTTTGTTCCAAACTCCATACTACCACCATCTCCATTGCCCAAAGACAACTGGGTATGTCCGAACGTGTTGGGTCAGGTCAGTAAGCTCCATAAGAAGACACCTGTGAGGGAATCCCTCAGAGTGTAGAGTGGGGACGTGTGTGTGAGATTCTGATCCAACTGGTTGGATGATGTGACACTGAAGTTTTTAATTATCCCCTTCTCCTCCTGTAGATCGTTCTTTTGTGAAGAATCGGGAAGACATTGACAGACTTCAGGAGCCACTGTTGGAAATCCTCCAGAAATATTGCAAACTGAACCACCCAGAGGACCCCCAGCACTTTGCCCGGTTGCTGGGCAGACTCACCGAGCTCAGGACCTTTAACCACCATCATTCAGAGATGCTGATGTCCTGGAAGATCAATGATCAGAAGTTCACGCCTCTTCTTTGTGAGATCTGGGATGTGCAGTGATTCCCCCTTTCCTCGCGAGAATTCTTGTGTCAATTACAGGACCCGGTAATTACAAATAGTCTGGAAACTGAAGCTGCCAATGTTGGAACGTTCTGAACCAGCTAGTGTACCCACACTGAGGAACGAAAGCATGTTCCTGTCACTCAATTGCCAGTGCAAAGACTCACTCTTCACAAGCACAGTTTAACTACAGGGATGTGACATCTCAGCTCCATAACACTCACGCATGTCCACGAATAGCAAGGTTCTACAGGAGAAGCACAGTGCGCCCTATATCTTCTTGAATGAAGTTTGGCACTTTTTAAATTGTCTTCATAATCTTAACGTATAGACACCATTCAAAGATGATGTAAGATTATTTGTAGTCCGTTTGAGTATTTTGTCTTTAGTGAATTCTACTTTCACTGAATGTTTTTTGAGGAGGGATATTCAGGGTGAACTATTGCAATATCAAGCTTCACAACACTGGGGAAGCATGCAGGAAATTAAGACCCACTCTTCCTGGAGTCAAGACAGATTTGGTCAGATTATCCAAATTTACCTGAAAGAAAATGCTTATCAGAATTCTATACTTAACAAACAAAAAGCCCTTTATTACAAGCGAATCGTCTTTATCTAATGGCAAACAGGAAGTAGGAATTGTATCAGAGATAGTAGGAACTGCAGATGTGGAAAATCTGAGATAACAAGGTGTAGAGCTGGATGAACACAGCAGGCCAAGCAGCATCATAGGAGCAGGAAGGCTGATGTTTC